TTGGATGCTTGCTACCAAAATTTGAAGGATCAAGTCAACAAGATGAAGGTTGTCGATGATAGCCCAGAGCGTGGCATTGCTCTCAGCCAGAAATATACACTTCATATACAGCAATTATATGTACAACGATTAACAAATGTAAACCAAAAAAAAAAAAAATATTTGTTTATACATATATATATATATATATATATATATATATATATATATATATATATATATATATATATATATATATGAGAGTGTAAATTAAAGTTGATCATATGTGCGGCCTAGTGCAGCCCTTGTGTTTTTCTACTTATGTAAAGATAAGTGTTAAAAAAAAATTGATCATTTTGAGAGGTTTTATTAAAAAATATTTTGAAAAAATGCAAGCATAAAAATTAAAATTTTCAAATTTCTTCTTATTTCAATATATGATGTCTATGGACTAATATACGCCGTTAGGGAACTAAAATGTTGTAAAATTGTTTTACTGACCTCATATTTCTTTTTTATATGACTTTTTTTATTTCGACAAATATTTGAAAGGTAAAATATTTTTGTGGTAAAATTGATATACTAAGCTCAAAAATCACAGTAGAGAAAAAATTATAATAATTTTAGTGTGCTGGGGGTCTCTAGATTGCTTTAAAAAAAATAGAAATTACTCCAATATAAAAATTGGTTTTGAGAAGTTTTGCTCACTGGTTCTGGCACACTGTGCAGCGCTCGAAACAAATTTTTATTCCAGTCAGGTTTGAGATCCAGGAAAACAGGTCCACTCGTCTGCCACCTGGTCTTACTTAATCCTAATTTGTCTAACTCAAATGGATCATTGTGTATAGTTGTCCGTGGACGTCCTATGAATTTAGCTTTTGATTTTTATGTGCATATTATTTAAACAATGATAATCTCACTCTATTATTTTTGGTTGAAACTTTTTTCCAGTGAGCTAATCCAGGTTTCGCGTTTTTTATAAAATCCTGACCCGAATATAATAAGTGCTTGAATATCAAGTTTGTTTAATAGTGTATAAGTTATAATAAATTTTGCTAAACATATTAAAAACAGTTATTTAATATTATAAACCTATTAAATTATCTATCTATTGCAAATTATTATTATGAAATGAAACGCGAAACCTGGGTTTGCTCACTGGAAAAAAGTATCGACCATTATTTTTTAGTAAAACCAAGAATTTGTTCCATGGTCAAAGCTCACTTAAAAGTAGAGATATAACGGAATTGAACCCGTCATTTCGAAAAGAGTACAAGTCACCCTTTTTCGAATTTTACTTTTTAATGCAATTTCCTTTATTCAAGTCTATTAAATACTCCATTTGAAGGAGAAACATTTTCATATGCCACAAGACAACTTTAAATGCAAATGAAAATTAAAGTCTGTTTGAAAATGGCACAAGACTTATGCCTTTTTCAAGTGAAATGAGGCGCAACTGAATATATAATTATTATATATAATTATATTAATATTATACGATATATAATTATTATAATATATAATTATTATAATATTACTTCAATAATTTTCTTTATTTACAGATTTCAAAATGAATGGAGCTTGTATCTGAAGATGTTATAAAAAGTTCAATTCAGTTTGTTAACAAATTTGATTGTAAAAATGCCCAAGACACATACTTGCAGTATGTGTTGATTGATTGAAAAAAAAAAAAATTGAAAATTGATTGAAAAAAAAAAAAAAGAGAGAAGACGGTTTAGATCTGGAGAACCTAAAAATTTTCTTTATCACAATAAGATTGAAGTTGTAATAAAAAAGTATGCAAGAAAGCTTTTTGCAGTATAAATGGAATTTCTATGAAGTTAGACGTTCATGCATTTTCTTAAAAAAAAAATGAACAGCCTATAAATCAGGTATCTAAATAAGCACCCTATAAATCAGGTATCAGCCAGGCAAATCCCAGGGATCACGATGCAACGCATCACCTAGAGATAAATTAACTAAATTACGTGAGCATATCGAATCATTTCCTGTTAAATATGTGCGCTACTATTGTAAGGATGCACCATCTTATTATTTGGATGAAAAAACTCAATGTGAAAATTATGCACACGTTATTCGAACAAAATATTCAGATCATTCTGTTAAATATAAGTTTTGCCTTAAATATTTCCGAGAAAATTTTAGTTTATTGTTTGGTAGAAAGTAAATTGATGTCTGTGGACTGTGCGAAGAGTTAAAAATTAAACTAAAAAACCCACATCTTAATGACAATGCAAAAATAGTCCATCAGGCAGATATTAAAATCCACAAAAGACAAGCAAACAAATTTGACTAAAAAATACAGGAAGTTGAAATTAAGTGCAAAAACGATCTAAGTGTGTATGGGATTGCATTTAATTTTATAAAAAATTTCATAAAATTCCCATAATTAATTATGGCTGTATGAGTTTTGCATAAGGGAAGTGGGATGACATTTTTCAAAAAGAAATATCGGGCCGTTTTTTAATATTTCTTTTTGAAAAATGTTATCTAATATGGCAAAAAACATTCCACGCGTTGGTAAAACAGTTTTCTTCATTTCGCTTATGTCAAAAAGAGTGTCTGATGCATTGCTGAAAAGTGATGTATTATAATGCTTATTTTGATTAAAATATTATAACTACATAATATTTTTCCAGACCTTACTTTTGAGGATTAAGCAATATTTCATTTTAGTATTAAAGGTATGTGTTATTGGCGTTATTTCACCAAGTGAAAACCGTTTTTGGTATCAATATGACCTAATAAGCAAGCTATGAAGCTATCTAAAAACTCTCTTCTGGCGCGCCAGTTCTGCGCCATGGCGCAGAACCGCATAGACGCACAAGAGGCACAACCGCATACATTTTGATATTTATTAAGTCAGATAATTACGAATAACAATATATACAACCGTCACACTTGAATGCGTTCATGTAAAAAATTGAATAGGATTTTTTTTATTTAATTTTTATAAATGGATTTTTTGATTAAAATGTAAAGCTAAGAGCATAAATATCCTATTTATGTATATCTGATGTTATTATATTATTATATATTGTAAGTATATAATTTTGTATTTCTTAATTAAAAAAAAAATGTACCATGAAAAGTGTGCCTTCAACAATTTTTGTAAGGGTGCGGTTGTGCATCACAATGGGGGCAAAACTGTTTTTTTCACTAAGTGTACTTTTTGCGTAATAACATTTTCAAAAACCGTTTTATTTTTTTCCTAATTGCAGCAATTTAAAGCTTAATAATATGGTTATTGAAATAAACTGTTAAAAAAAAACACGATTTGCTATTATTTTCATATAACATCAATTTTAACGCTAAGGGGGTGGTTATGCCCCAACTTCTCCTATATAATTTTAAAACTAGTAAATCAGCATTTTATTCATATTGTGAAGGAATTGCTAACAGAGGTTTCAACAAAGTAAGTAACTTTGTGTTGGCTTATATTTTTAAAAGAATTGGCAACGAAGCCAAAGAGATGCACTAAAAAAAAGATGCACCAAAGTGATGCACAATATTTTCTGATGGTTGTGCAGGCCAAAATATAAATCATGCTATGGTCTAAATTCTTTTATCACTATTAGCTGAACTAGGTGGCAAAATAAATGAGATACAATATTACATATCAAAAAGAGGTCATTCATTCTTGCCAAACGATAAAATTTTTGGAACAGCAAAACTACATATCCAAAAAATTTATCGGATTTACACACCAACAGAGTATGAAAATTTTATAGCTGAAGCAAACAAAAAATTTGAAATTAGAAGGCCAAAAACTGAAGATATTACTGATGTAAAAAAATGGTGGCCAAACCATTATGTGTCTTCCTATGAAATAGGAAGACCCAAAAAAAAAAAGTAATTTTTTGTATTTCTAAATGGTCACATTTCACGTTCTCTAAGACCACGGCAGGTTTAGTGACAACATTTAAATCCATAGATTATTTAGTCAGTTATGATTTCAAGCAAAGGATGGGAACACGGCCAACCTTACCATTAAGTAGTACTCCTGCGTATGTTAGAAAATTGCCTATCAATGAAAAAAAATATCAGATTTGAAAAAAATAGAAAAATATATTCCATATTCAATAAAAGAGTACTAAAACTTCTATACAGATGTTTTTGCATGGCCAACAACTTCGGCAAACAATGAATTCCAAAAAATAAGTAATGATTAAATAACAATAATTGTTTTTATGTAATAATAAAATCATTATTAATTTATATTAATATGATGTAATTATGATATCAATAGTTTCTCATGGTTTGTTATCAAGTAAAGATCTTATTATGATCTCGTGGTAATATTACAACCACAGTTGAATTTATTGAACTATGGTTCTGACATCGGCTTGATATCATAGTGAGATAATGTTTTGATATCATAGCATGATAAAATTCTGATATCACATTGATCTCATGCGCTGACTGGGAACAACTTGAGCATTTTATTGCTTTTTTTAAAAAAATGCGCGATTCTTAAATTGATAAATTTGATTATAAAACTTTGACTAAATGCTTAAAGTTAAAGCTATTTATTATAATAGCAATAAGCAAGTAAGGCAGGCGCGAAGGAAGGGGGTGTCACTCTCCCCCAACCCCATCAATGAATACTTAGTATATTTAGTCGGCAAATTTGAAAAAACGAGGCCCCTTTTTTTTAGTCGGCAAAAATTGAATTAGCACCCCCCCATTCCCCTTGTGACACCTACTCGCGCCGGCGCTGTAAGCAAGTAATAAGCTTACAAAACAAAATTTTATATTTGATTGATAATAATTAGTTTGATTGGTTCTGTTTGAAACAGATTTGAGATTTTCTTAATTACAATTATTCTTATAACTTAAACAATTTACATCTTAGTAGACGTGTATTAGCGGCAACTCTTTTTACTTGTTACTTGCTTTATGTAAGACATATTTTTCATAAAACTTATTTGTATCAAAGTTATAAAACTTTGTCATAATTATTCACTCTATACATAAAGTTTGTTTAAAACTAAATATTCTTGCAAGAAGCCTACTTAAAGTTTGATAAATGATAACCTACATAAAATTGTAAAGAAAAAAATAGGTTGCAAAAGAAACTCCATCGTCATTTAATTTTCAAGTTTTGTTCGCTTATCTCATCCTCTGATTTAGTGACAATTAAACTGATATCGTGCGACATTAGCTTTTTAGCTTGATAAGCTTCTTTCTTAATAGCTATATCTAATTCTTTAGGTATATCTGGAACCAAGAAGTCAATGAGCCTGTGTGTCGCAAATACAAAATGCTAAAACAGCAAAAAATAATTTTATGATTAGGTTAAAAAAATATTGAATAAATTTTATAAGATAGTATCAAAAATGACTTACTTCAAATACAATGACAAAGCATAACTTCGATGCCAATAAATGCCAATAAAACGCTGTTAAACGACCTTCTTTGTCACGAAAATCACGGTACCTATAATAAACAAAAACACGGGAAAAGAACTAACAATTATTTAAAAATCGTAGATGGGTCATAACTTTATTATCATCTACTTTTTTTGCAATTATACATTAGGATGATGTGAAAACTACTTTTTGAAAATTTGTCCTGTTACACCTACAGGTTTGTTCTATATAATTAAATAACACAAGATTTACAAAAATTTTGAAGGAAAAATATTTTCAAGGACTGACGGGTCCCTATAACATTATCCAAAAAAAGTTTCTTTAAAAGTACGTATACAAAAAAAAGCATAAATAGTATTGATATAAAATATTGATATAATATTTACATCTTATTCAGGACAAAATGGAGCACCTTTTCTTTTATATATATTTTTTTTGTACATGTACTTTTTATCATGAAATTAAAAGTTGGTTAAACTCTTCGTAATATAGAAATCCTCCCCTAAAAAAATTTTATATTCATCACAACTAATGAGCTTTGATATACAGGAGATGTTACGTGACTTTTTTGAAGCCAGTTTTAAAAATGGCCGCCTTCTTTGTTAACCCAAACATTTAACGGAACCTAAAATTTTACTGATTTTTTTTTTTGAAATTTTGATTTTACTGATATTTTTCATAGGCATATTAGGCTGTATCATGCAAAAATTCCATAAAGAAATGATAGATATATAACATTAAAATAGACTCTATAAAATATTGAATAATAAAATATCACAGTAATCACCACAGTAGTAGCATATATACTATTACTCTGGTGATTTTTTGTTTTATTACTCAATATTTTTATAAAATTCCATTAAAAATTAAAAGTCTAGATATAAGTCAAAAGTGGATAACTGCTCTATGTAGAGAAAACTTTAATGATCCTCATAAATTAGCAGTTGTGTTTAAAACACTTTACAGAAACTGATATGAATAGAACTAGTTTCTTTACCAGGCATTTTTGAAGCACTAGAGTAATAGCTTTCTTCGTTTTTTATATAATAAGTTTCTTCGTTTTTTTTACTAACTTTTGTTATCTTACTCTAATTTAGATCATACAGAGCTGTTTTTTTTAATGCTGAGTCGACAGTTACGCAAAAAGTTTGTTAATTTTACAGATCAGTAAGTTCACCTGTAAAGAAGTTAATTTCAGCTTAACTATGTTATATTTTATATAATTATTATGTAAATATATTTTCATATAACTATTTGGATCTTATTTCAATATTATGGTTCAGTTTCATTACAGCTATACCTATATTTATGATATAAATTAGTAAAAACATTAATCTAATTTAGGGGTTGTTATTTGACTGGGGCCGGGGCCGAGTTTGATAAAATATAGCCAGGGCTGGGTTTCTGACCGGGGCTGCATAAATATTTATACATCCAAAAGTATATATTTTTTATTCCAAATTTATTTTATATTTTGTAATATATGTATATATAAATATTATGATCAAGATGATTGTCATTACCATCATCATCATCATCATCATCATCATCATCATCATCATCATCATCATCATCATCATCATCATCATCATCATCATCATCATCATCATCATCATCATCATCATCATCATCATCATCATCATCATCATCAACATCATCATCATCATCATCATCATCATCATCATTATCTTCTCTTTCAGCAAATACTACACCATATAAATACTAAAGTTTAAATAAATATGAAAGAATATTGTATGCCAGCATCTAAATAAATAGCAAACATAAGTTTATGTCCATAATATGTATGCATAAAGCGCATCTCAGAAGCTTTTATTCCTTCTGGACTAAAAGTTTGAAAGATTGATTCTTACTCTTCAATTTTAAGTCAAAACTCATTCTACTCCATATTTTTCACCATCTTGAGCAGTTGCTTTATTAATCATTTATTTCATCTTTTTTTAAAGAATATCTCTTTTAAGAACAAATCTCTTTTAAGAATATACGAGAACATCTCTCTTAAGAACATCTCTACGAGATCGAAACACGAGAACCTCTCTCTCAAAAACATCTCTTTTAAGAATAAAAGAACATCTCTCTTAAGAACAAATGTTCTTTTATTATTCCAAGAAGCCAATATACTTGTAAAAAGGTCCCATCCTGTTGAACACACCTCGTAAAAAGGTTCCGCCTGATATTCAGCTTTGTTATTCTCTGTTTACTAGATCTTGTATCTTGTATCAGACGTTAGGTTCTAGAGAATTTTGGTTAGTCTAATATTTAATCTTATTGATTGTATAATATTTAATATTTAATTTTTGAAAAGTGCTAAATAAGTAGTTCCAACTTTTCAAAACTCTAGAAAACACCTTGACCTCTCCAACTATCCTACAATAGTAAGATAGTCGGAGATACCTAACTAAACTAAATTACTGTCTTCACTCTGTTGTTTCTTTATATAAAGATTTTGAGATTATTTAATTATTATTTTCAACTTCTGAACTGAAGTTAAAGTTATTAGCCTAATCTCTTCTTTATTTCAAGTAACTTCAAGGGTACTACAAGGTTCAAGGATACTACAAGGGTTCTACAAGGTTCAAGGGTACTACGAGATTCTACCTTTGCTCATGTATTAATTTTTATCTTCAATAAGGATCTTCATGAAATCTAAAGTGGCTCTATTTGCTGACGATTCAAATTTATACTCTTGTCAAAAAATCTTTACTTTTTGATTGCTTAATAGATTTTAAATCTGATCTCTATTCTCTAACAGCCTAAGGCTGTTACAGAAAAGAGATCAGATTTAAAATCTATAATTTTTGTTAGACAACAAAACTCATTAATTTACTGTTAAAAAAAATTTTTAAATAATGTTGGTATTCCAATATTGATGAACAAAAACTCTCTTACTCTTAGACAAAGTCTAAAAGTAAATTGTAAATGTAATGCGGTCATGGTGTGGTGGTAGAGCACTTGCATCATAATCGAGAGGTACAGAGTTCGATCCCCACCACGTCAGGGTTAGGGTTACCCTAACCCTAACCCTGACCACCAAAAACAAAAAAGTAATTTTTTGTATTTCTAAATTGTCACATTTCACGTTCTCTAAGACCACGGCAGGTTTAGTGACAACATTTAAATCCATAGATTATTTAGTCAGTTATGATTTCAAGCAAAGGATAAGAACACGGCCAACCTTACCATTAAGTAGTACTCCTGCATATGTTAGAAAATTGCCTATCAATGAAAAAGAATATCAGATTTGAAAAAAATAGAAAAATATATTCCATATTCAATAAAATAGTACTAAAACTTCTATACAGATGTTTTTGCATGGCCAACAACTTCGGCAAACAATGAATTCCAAAAAATAAGTAATGATTAAATAACAATAATTGTTTTTATGTAATAATATAATCATTATTTATTTATATTAGTATGATGTAATTATGATACCAATAGTTTCTCATGGTTTGTTATCAAGTAAAGATCTTATTATGATCTCGTGGTAATATTACAACTACAGTTGAATTTATTGAACTATGGTTCTGACATCGGCTTGATATCATAGTGAGATAATGTTTTGATATCATAGCATGATAAAATTCTGATATCACATTGATCTCATGCGCTGACTGGGAACAACTTGAGCATTTTATTGCTTTTTTTAAAAAAATGCGCGATTCTTAAATTGATAAATTTGATTATAAAACTTTGACTAAATGCTTAAAGTTAAAGCTATTTATTATAATAGCAATAAGCAAGTAAGGCAGGCGCGAAGGAAGGGGGTGTCACTCTCCCCCAACCCCATCAATGAATACTTAGTATATTTAGTCGGCAAATTTGAAAAAACGAGGCCCCTTTTTTTTAGTCGGCAAAAATTGAATTAGCACCCCCCCATTCCCCTTGTGACACCTACTCGCGCCGGCGCTGTAAGCAAGTAATAAGCTTACAAAACAAAATTTTATATTTGATTGATAATAATTAGTTTGATTGGTTCTGTTTGAAACAGATTTGAGATTTTCTTAATTACAATTATTCTTATAACTTAAACAATTTACATCTTAGTAGACGTGTATTAGCGGCAACTCTTTTTACTTGTTACTTGCTTTATGTAAGACATATTTTTCATAAAACTTATTTGTATCAAAGTTATAAAACTTTGTCATAATTATTCACTCTATACATAAAGTTTGTTTAAAACTAAATATTCTTGCAAGAAGCCTACTTAAAGTTTGATAAATGATAACCTACATAAAATTGTAAAGAAAAAAATAGGTTGCAAAAGAAACTCCATCGTCATTTAATTTTCAAGTTTTGTTCGCTTATCTCATCCTCTGATTTAGTGACAATTAAACTGATATCGTGCGACATTAGCTTTTTAGCTTGATAAGCTTCTTTCTTAATAGCTATATCTAATTCTTTAGGTATATCTGGAACCAAGAAGTCAATGAGCCTGTGTGTCGCAAATACAAAATGCTAAAACAGCAAAAAATAATTTTATGATTAGGTTAAAAAAATATTGAATAAATTTTATAAGATAGTATCAAAAATGACTTACTTCAAATACAATGACAAAGCATAACTTCGATGCCAATAAATGCCAATAAAACGCTGTTAAACGACCTTCTTTGTCACGAAAATCACGGTACCTATAATAAACAAAAACACGGGAAAAGAACTAACAATTATTTAAAAATCGTAGATGGGTCATAACTTTATTATCATCTACTTTTTTTGCAATTATACATTAGGATGATGTGAAAACTACTTTTTGAAAATTTGTCCTGTTACACCTACAGGTTTGTTCTATATAATTAAATAACACAAGATTTACAAAAATTTTGAAGGAAAAATATTTTCAAGGACTGACCCTAAAATATTTAACGGGTCCCTATAATATTATCCGAGAAAAGTTTCTTTAAAAGTACGTATACAAAAAAAGCAAATTTTCATAAAAGTTAGATATAAATAGTATTGATATAAAATTTCGCATGCATTTTTTTTTCAGATAAAGGTAGGGACAATTTAAAAATATTCTAGGGTTAGTTAGGGAAATTAATAAAATATTTTTATTCAAATACTTTTATCTTAAATTTACATCTTATTCAGGACAAAATGGAGCACCTTTTCTTTTATATTTTTTTTTGTGCATGTACTTTTTATCATGAAATTAAAATTTGGTTAATCTCTTCGTAATATAGAAATCCTCCACTAAAAAAATTTTATATTCATCACAACTAATGAGCTTTGATATACAGGAGATGTTACGTGACTTTTTTGAAGCCAGTTTTAAAAATGGCCGCCTTCTTTGTTAACCCAAACATTTTACGGAACCTAAAATTTTACTGATTTTTTTTTTTGAAATTTTGATTTTACTGATATTTTTCATAGGCATATCAGGCTGTATCATGCAAAAATTCCGTAAAGAAATGATAGATATATACCATTAAAATAGACTCTATAAAATATTGAATAATAAAATATCACAGTAATCACCACAGTAGTAGCATATATACTATTACTCTGGTGATTTTTTGTTTTATTACTCAATATTTTTATAAAATTCCATTAAAAATTAAAAGTTTAGATATAAGTTAAAAGTGGATAACTGCTCTATGTAGAAAAAACTTTAATGATCCTCATAAATTAGCAGTTGTGTTTAAAACACTTTACAGAAACTGATATGAATAGAACTAGTTTCTCTACCAGGCATTTTTGAAGCACCAGAGTAATAGCTTTCTTCGTTTTTTATATAATAAGTTTCTTCGTTTTTTTTACTAACTTTTGTTATCTTACTCTAATTTAGATCATACAGAGCTGTTTTTTTTAATGCTGAGTCGACAGTTACGCAAAAAGTTTGTTAATTTTACAGATCAGTAAGTTCACCTGTAAAGAAGTTAATTTCAGCTTAACTATGTTATATTTCATATAATTATTATGTAAATATATTTTCATATAACTATTTGGATCTTATTTCAATATTATGGTTCAGTTTCATTACAGCTATACCTATATTTATGATATAAATTAGTAAAAACATTAATCTAATTTAGGGGTTGTTATTTGACTGGGGCCGGGGCCGAGTTTGATAAAATATAGCCAGGGCTGGGTTTCTGACCGGGGCTGCATAAATATTTATACATCCGAAAGTATATATTTTTATTCCAAATTTATTTTATATTTTGTAATATATGTATATATAAATATTATGATCAAGATGATTGTCATTACCATCATCATCATCATCATCATCATCATCATCATCATCATCATCATCATCATCATCATCATCATCATCATCATCATCATCATCATCATCATCATCATCATCATCATCATCATCATCATCATCATCATCATCATCATCATCATCATCATCATCATCATCATCATCAACATCATCATCATCATCATCACCATCATCATCAACATCATCATCATCATCATCATCATCATCATCATCATCATCATCATCATCATCATTATCATCATCATTATCTTCTCTTTCAGCAAATACTACACCATATAAATACTAAAGTTTAAATAAATATGAAAGAATATTGTATGCCAGCATCTAAATAAATAGCAAACATAAGTTGCAAACATAATGTCCATAATATGTATGCATAAAGCGCATCTCAGCTTTTATTCCTTCTGGACTAAAAGTTTGGAAGATTGATTCTTACTATTCAATTTTAAGTCAAAACTCATTCTACTCCATATTTTTCACCATCTTGAGCAGTTGCTTTATTAATCATTTATTTCATCTTTTTTTAAAGAATATCTCTTTTAAGAACAAATCTCTTTTAAGAATATACGAGAACATCTCTCTTAAGAACATCTCTACGAGATCGAAACACGAGAACCTCTCTCTCAAAAACATCTCTTTTAAGAATAAAAGAACATCTCTCTTAAGAACAAATGTTCTTTTATTATTCCAAGAAGCCAATATACTTGTAAAAAGGTCCCATCCTGTTGAACACACCTCGTAAAAAGGTTCCGCCTGATATTCAGCTTTGTTATTCTCTGTTTACTAGATCTTGTATCTTGTATCAGACGTTAGGTTCTAGAGAATTTTGGTTAGTATAATATTTAATCTTATTGATTGTATAATATTTAATATTTAATTTTTAAAAAGTGCTAAATAAGTAGTTCCAACTTTTCAAAACTCTAGACAACACTTTGACCTCTCCAACTATCCTACAATAGTAAGATAGTCGGAGATACCTAATTAAATTAAATTACTGTCTTCACTCTGTTGTTTCTTTATATAAAGATTTTGAGATTATTTAATTATTATTTTCAACTTCTGAACTGAAGTTAAAGTTATTAGCCTAATCTCTTCTTTATTTCAAGTAACTTCAAGGGTACTACAAGGTTCAAGGATACTACAAGGGTTCTATAGGTTCAAGGGTACTACAAGGTTCTATCTTTGCTCATGTATTAATTTTTATCTTCAATAAGGATCTTCATGAAATCTAAAGTGGCTCTATTTGCTGACGATTCAAATTTATACTCTTGTCAGAAAATCTTTACTTTTTGATTGCTTAATAGATTTTAAATCTGATCTCTATTCTCTAACAGCCTAAGGCTGTTACAGAAAAGAAATCAGATTTAAAATCTATAATTTTTGTTAGACAACAAAACTCATTAATTTACTGTTAAAAAAAATTTTTAAATAATGTTGGTATTCCAATATTGATGAACAAAAACTCTCTTACTCTTAGACAAAGTCTAAAAGTAAATTGTAAATGTAATGCGGTCATGGTGTGGTGGTAGAGCACTTGCATCATAATCGAGAGGTACAGAGTTCGATCCCCACCACGTCCCAGGTAAAACCGCACTCAATTGTTTTTCTGCACAGTGGTCTTGGTTGTCAAGGTTCGTGTTTCAGAGTTACATAGTTGAGAGAGGGTTATATCTAAAATTAAATAGCCTTCTTGTCTGTAGAGGCGTTTTCAGCCTGGGGAGGTAAATTAACATTAAAAAAATAATTATAAATTAGACCTGCTTTATCTGCTAAGCTTGAGCCACTCTTCCATTTTCGTAAGGTTGCATTTCTTACTTTTTTTCTACAAATACAACCATGGTCAATGCTCAAACAAGCTATCATCTCTATTCAATAAACCAAAACTCATTCTTGCTTGTTTCAAATTCAACAATTTGCATCCTTTTACTGTATCTGTCCCTTCATGATATTAAAACTTTTATTAATCCAGTTTTTTCCCTTGCATATCAAAAAAACCTTAGAACTATTAGCCATCATGTTTTTCTTTTATATACAACCTACAACTTTTCAAATCTTCAGTTAACTATTTCCTAGTATTTTTACTTATTCTCTATTTAAGGTAACTCAGATTAGATCAAAGATTAGAGTTTGAATTTATATAAATGTATGCCAGTATTAAATTAATTATAAATGTAAGCATAAAATTATGATATATAAAGTATTATAATTTTTTTCTAGCCCTGGCTATCAACCCCTGATAAATCTTATAGTTTAGCCGGGACCGGGTTTGAAAAAAGTCTCATTTTTTAGTTGAGGCCCTGGTCACTTACTACTAACAATAAAACTAAAAATTTCTTCACCTCCAAAATCATATGTATTATTACCTGCAAGTTTGTAAAGTAGAATTGTGTGGGGATACTGCTAGGGAATAATTTAAATAGCCTTCCAAAGATCCATTCTGTGAAATTGTAAATCGGTAGAGTAATTTCGGTAAAAAGTTTGAAGTAAATGCAATAAGAAATGCCTGTGATAGAAAAAATATACATACTCAATAATAATATGCATCAGCTAATGTCCATTAGGGGTGTTGCCTATGTTAGGGTTGAAATTGAAACCCAAAAATTTTTTTTTCTTCCTATTTTAGTGTTAGTGTACAATGTAAAAAATTTTTTTACTAAATATAATTAACTCTTTTGAAGCGCCTCAAAGCCCATAAAGATAAGCCCTGATTTCCTGTTTAAAACAAAAGCAAATTTTAGCATTTCACTAAGCAAATATTATTATATTGAAACAATATGTAATTTGACTGCTATATTTTTCTGTTTCCTGTTTTAGTGAAATAAATTAAGCTGACATGTTGACCAGAAGGGGTAAAATTGTAGTTGTTTGCCAAATACAACTGACCAACTTTCATTAACTGACCAACTTTCATTAACAACAAGACCAGTTACCAGTACCTCTGCTAAACTTTGGTGTAACTGGTTCCAAACTAACTGATTACATATAGGTTAAGAAAACTTGCTTTTTTAATGTTGGGATAAAAACTAACAATTTGGCAAATATTTTAATGAAACCGATACCAACATTTCGGCTAGTCAAAATTAGTTTCATTAGCAAAAATTATTTAAAAATGCAATTTTAGGTTTGTGGTTTTTATTATGTTTATTTATTATGTAAGGGGCGGATCTTCTAATGATGCTCTTTCTCTTTTAGACAAGGTGCAAAAACGAATTGTAAACATAGTTGGACCTGCTCTGGCAGCCAATCTCCAACCTTTGTCACATCGTCGTAATGTTGCTTCTCTTTCTCTTTTCTACAAATACTATAATGGTCACTGCTCTAAAGAGCTAGCGTCTTTTGTGCCATCTACTAAAATTCATTCTCGTGTTACTCGCCATTCAATTAAGTCTCATCCTTTTTCTGTGACTGTTCCTAAGTGCTTCAAAAACTCTTATTCTTCTAGTTTTTTTCCTCGAACATCAGTTCTTTGGAATTCGCTTCCTTCATCTTGCTTTCCTGATTCATATAATTTGCAATCTTTTAAGTCATCAGTCAATCGTTATCTTGCTCTACAGATTTAGTCTTTTCTCTTCCAGTAACTTCCAACTCTTATAGTGGTTGCTTGCAGCCTTGTTGGAAGTGAAGATGTTAAAAAAAAAAAAAAAAAAAAAAAAAATGTTAGAATTGATTACATATGTTTCACATATTGAGATTTATTACATAGTTGGCGATATAAGTTAATAGCGAAAGTTAACAACTGGCAGATTTTGTCAAGTTATTTTGTGAAAATTCTCAAAGTTTTTGTGAAAACTCCTAAATTATTTTGTGAAAATTCTCGAAAATAACTGTTCTTTAAAATTAGATAAAAATTTAAAATCTTACAAATTTTTTGGTTTCTGTATGTTTTTCAACCAAAAGTTTGCTTTTTACCAAATTTATAAAAAGTACTGAAACAGAAATTTTTGTACTTTTTATACGTTTCAAATTAAAATTTTGGCTGAAACCAATACTGAACAAATACTGAATCAGAATTTCGATTGATCACTAATGACACATCAAGACAAAGATAAGATAAAACTTGGTATTAGATCTTATGTGTCTCTGGAATGAGTGGAACTACTTGATGAAGAGCAGATTGCTGTTGCTGAAGTAGAGGTTAGTTTAGGGTGGGACTTGAATTACGAACCTCTAAAGAATAGATGATCAGAATTTTTCACTCCTTAACTTCCCAAAAAAATTATGCAATTCAAGAAAATCATTTCTGCAATAGACAAGCTGAGATGTCTGAAAATAAAGCAACTATGGTTGATCTTCTGTAGTTAAAGCTGCTGGTGGTCATGGTAAACTTAAACAATTGTAATTTTTAAAGATCAACATATCATTGAAGTAAAATGTTAAATCAACATAAGGATTGCTGAGAGTATTATTTATGTGAGGCTTGACCCAACCCAATTTGATGCCCTTAAAAATGTGCTCCAGAATCCAGCAAAAAGAGTGTTCTTTTTCTCATTGATTCAAGGAGAGATTCAAACATTAGATCTCCTAGAGGTTTATAATACAATATTAGATTTCCTAGAGGCTTGAGATCTAAGCAACAATGTTGTAGCATTTGTATCTGCTGCTAAATTGATTGAAGAAAACTTAGGTCAAAAATTTTTTTGTTATGCTAATTGGCGCTACATTTTTGAAATATTTTTGGTCCAGAAAATAAACTCTTTGATGAGTGTAAAACTGGCTAGCCAGAATCTGATAAACAGTTGTCTATTATCAAAACACTAGCTGTTAAAGGAAATTGCTGAGGTTATTCTTTCTAAAATAACAATCATCCATGGTGTTTAACAAAAAGTAGTTCAATTTGATTTTTTCAGCAAGCATGTTAGATCCACTGTGAAAAACAATTTGGCAACCAAATTTTGGAATTTCCGGAGCTCAAAAATTTTTGTCTTAGTAAGCCAGTTTTTTTCAAATTATTCATTAAACAGGTTTATTAAATATTCTGGGAAAACCAATTGTGCTTGAACAGTAGATAGATCATACTAATGACTTTTTTAATGGTGTAAAATAATGAACAATTTTATGGTATTTAACTGCTTAGTCCTACTAAAACTAATTAATACAATCAATATAATACTTTGTGTATTTAACCAAAAGCAATTAAAATTGTTCCTATATATATGATAATATTCAAGTTGTTTTTTCCAGCAAAAAAATAAACATTACCTTCCATAAAATATGAGGGAACCAAGGCTTTTCTTGCCTATTTTCTTGTTGACGTGGTGGATACATATTAGTAATAAAAGAATCAAAATGCTGACGAAAAAAATACAATTAGAGAAGTCCATATTTAGTTAAAGTGTGAAAAATAAATTTTAGAAGTAATAAACTGGTAGAACTAGAAAGCATTTAAATGTTTTATTAGTGGATTATCATTAAACTAACTTTTATTTGAGTTTTTGATGCCAATAGAGATAAAAACTTTGCCCAATATGTTATGAGCAGAATATATATATATATATATATATATATATATATATATATATATATATATATATATATATATATATACATATATATATATATATATATATATGTATATATATATGCATATATATATATATATATATATATATATATATATATATATATATATATATATATATATATGTATATATATATATATATATATATACCTTCAATCAATTTAGCAGCAGCATTATAGCTGTTACTATTACTGAAATTGGTATCAAATACAAATGCCACAACATTTGTTGCTTAGATCCCAAGCTTCTAGAAGATCTAATGTTTGAATCTCTCCTAAAATCAATGAGAGAAAGAACACTCTCTTTGCTGGATTCTGGAGCACTTTTTAAGGACACCAAATTGGGTTGGGTCAAGCCTCACATAAATTATACTCTCAGCAATCCTTATGTTGATTTAATATTTTACTTCAATGATATGTTGATCTTTAAGAATTACAATTGTTCAAGTTTACCATAACCACCAGCAGCTTTAACTACAGAAGATCAACCATAGTTGCTTTATTTTCAGACACTTTAGCTTGTCTGTTGCATTAATGATTTTTTTGAATTGAATAATTCTTTTGGGAAGATAAAGAGTAACAAATTCTGATCATCTATTCATTGGAGGTTCATAATTCAAGTCCCACCCTAAACTAACCTCTACTTCAGCAACAGTAATCTGCTCTTTGTCAAATAATTTCACTCATTCCAGAGACACATAAGATCTAACACCAAGTTTTGTCTTATCTTTGTCTTGATATGTGTCATTAATGATCGATCCAAATTCTATATATTTATATAATTTTTTTTTTCTCAACATTTTTACTTTTAACAAAGCTGCAAACAACCATTATTAGAGTTGGAAGAGAAAAGATTAAACTTATACAGCAAAAAAATGATTAACAGATAACTTAAGAGATTGCAAATTATATGAATCAGGAAAACAAGATGAAGAAACCAAATGCCAAAAAACTGTTCATGGAAAAAAACTAGATAGATAAATGTTTTTGGAAGATCTGCTCCAGATATGGCAATGATATTCCATACAAGACAAAATTGAACAACTGCATTGTTCAATTTTGTTAGTTGTTCAATGTAGACATCTGAATTGATCGTTCAGTTGAGTGGTAAAAGTTCAAAGTAAACAAATCCTTTGTAATCCCACCAAACTGATAATATAACTTTCTTTTGATGAATATCAGCTTTTGATGTTATTTGAGCTGGTTCACCTGGCTTACTCCACAATCTTTTCCAAATGGCATTGTTGTAAACAACCCATTTTTCATCACCAGTTATCAATCGTTTTAAAAATGGATCATTTTCATTACGTTTTTTTAAAACGCAGATGTTAATGCATTGTGTTAAATGATTTTCTTTCAGTTCATGAGGAACCCATATATTGAGTTTTTGTACATAGCAAAGTTGTTTTATGCAGTTTTCATTGCATGTAAAAGCCCAAGGACTGAAACATAGAAAATCAAAAAATATTCAACTTTAGAGTAGTAGTAAGTAGTGCAATTACAAGGTCCAGAGAAGAAATATAAAATATTTATAGAGATCATTGCATGGTAAGAACCACCTAAAAGACACAAATCAAGGAGGGAAGTGATAAGAGTTGTCCAGAAAATGAGTCATGAAGTTATGTATCTTAGAGAATTACAGAAGTTTCAGAAGTTGGGCTTTTATGTCAGAAGAGTCAATAATGTTAGAGCCAAGCCATTTATTGTGATGAGCATTTAAGCCAACAACTGCAACAATGTTGGCAGAGGGATAAAAAGAAATGACTTAATCAATATGGTCAAAAATAACATTTAAAGAGTTAATTTACATTTCACAAAAGCACTTAAAGGGGCACCATTCATGCACAACAGCTGAATCCTCATTATGAGATAACAAGAAGAGTTGCATAGCAACTGTCAAGGAGGCACAAGCACAAGTCTATAGTAGAGTCAAGAAAATCTAGCATTCATCATACTAGGCAGGAAACAATGTAACACAAGTTATA